ATGGATATTATACGCAAATGAATGGAAATGGATATAACGGATACACTATGGAAGTGGACGGGGAGGCAGAGTCTCGGAGAATCAAATTCTATACGTCGAGAATCAGTCCCGAGTGCCGAGCAGTCAATATGTTGGTCACTCACTTAAACCTACCCATCCATGAGATATACATCAGACCTTTCATTGACACGACAACTGAAGAATATAAAAAGGTATATGTTTTTCATCAATTGCTCTCTAGTTATATATTCAGATTTCATAATAATTCAAGATTTTAAATATAAAATATTACTACAATAAAAGCATTAGTACGCTAAAAGCAATATTTGACCAAGAAATTAATTTTTAAAGTTGTATGATGACATCATAGAAATTTCCATACTATGGCTATCATTAAGTTTTTCATTTTTTCTCACTGATAAGTGTGTAAAATATATTTAAAATAGGTTTTGTAGCATGATTTAGAAATATTTTCTTGAAATTAAAAGTATATTTATCAATAATAAATGATATAATGCATTACAATAATAATTAAACGAGCACTTGAAATAGTTTGCTTGATAATAATTTGTTATTACGAGAATAATGCGCATAAATTATAATTCATAAAAGATAAACAGATATTTTAATGTAACACATAAATATTAATATAAATAATTGAAATTACATTATATCTATAATAATAATCTTAGTGAAGTGATAAAATTCAATTTTATAACTCATTATCTTAAGGGTAATTATTTTGACACTTACCCGGAACTCTACTACAGTACACCAAATTACAATATACTGTATTATTTTTTACCATCTTAGTAGTTTTGATAAAATTAACTCATTATATAACATGTTTAATAATTTAATTTAATCTAATTATTAATTAATAAAAAGGTTTAATGGCTGCAATTAGTATGAACTAATGAATAGGAATGCTGAAATAAAATATTAATTATTGAAAAATAAAGTACACATAAACGTTAAAAGTACTCAACATTCAAACTTATTTATAGATAAATCCATGCCATACAGTTCCAGCCATAGATGACAATGGATTTATATTATGGGAAAGTCGAGCAATAATGCAATACCTGTGCAACAAATATGCTCCCAATTCTA